AGTCTGATTCCTTTATCATTAAAAAATGCATTTATTTGTGTGGGTTCTTGGCTTGCCTGTATGTCTGTGCACAGTGTATGCAATGCCCCCAGAGGCCAGAAGAGGGTACAGGATTGCCTGAGGTTGGAGTTACCGGCAGTTGTGAGCTGCCACGTACTGGGAACCAAACCCAGGTCCTCTGCAGGAGCAGTGTGGGCTCTGAACCGCTGAGCATCCAGCCCCAGGAACCGACTTTGCTCACACTTTCTGCCTCTTCCTCCCTCTTACTCTCTTCTAGGCTTCCTTACCTTCATCCTGGTGGGCTGCTTGGGTCAGCGCTTCCTCAAGGCCCACAGAAAACACTCCTGCATCCTATGTCATTACCCCACCCCACCGCTTCCACTTGCTGGTCCCTGGGGGCCCCAGCCGGTGCAGCTGCCCTTCACCTTCCCTCCTTCCAACTTCAGGACCTCCTGCTCTTAAAGCCAACAGCAGTCACTGGGCCCTGTGCTCCTGGTGTACTGCCACATCTTTCAATGGCTTCTTCCCACCGTCTTATGCAGGATAGTCTCACCCAGCGTCTCCCTCCTAGCCTTGCCGCTCTCCACTGTGGGCAGTCACCAGTACAGACATCTCTTGGCCAGCTCTGCCCAGGCGCTCTGCATTGGAACATCACTGGCCTCTGCGGGCTTGCTCTCTGCTTCAAGACCTTGGCGGGAATTGAAGCGGGAGCGGTTCCTTTGTAACATCTTGTTTTGTTTCTACTTGCTGAGGGCAGGAGCCCGCAGGTAGTTTTAATGGCACAGGATGTCTCCTTTGGCTTCCTGGTGTTCCAGGCGTTCCCCACACCTGATAGTTACACCTGAGGAGAGAAGGGTGGCAGGTGGCACAAGCCTACCGGTGGCTTTAGGTTCACCTCATGGTCATACACGGTTGCTGTTGTTCCAAATATTGTGCCCACAGTCAAGACAGACACAGGTAAAAGAGGATCTTCCAGCCCATTTATTCATTTGTTTATTTTAGGGGGAACACGTGTGTAGAGGCCAGAGGTCAACATCTGTGTCTCCTTCAATCATCCTCCACCTTATTTTTTGTGTGTATGTAGTTGTGTGTGCACATGTGTGTGGGTGCATGTTTACATGTGTGCATGAGAGTGTGGAAGCCAGAGTCAGTATCAGGCCTTCCTCCATTACTCGCCATCTTATTTTTTGAGGCAGAATCTCTCACTGAACTTAGAGCTCACGATCAGTCTAGACTGGCTGGTGGCAGCTCTAGGTAGCCTCCAGTTTGCGCCTCCCCAGAGTCGCTATTGCGGGTACGTGGTGTCCGGCTTTTCCACGTAGGTTCCGGGAGATGGAACTCGGGTCTCCTGCTCGCGTGGCAAATGCTTTAGCTGTCTCCCCAGCCTCCTCTGGTCTGTCTCTATGGAAGAAGAGGAAAGCCCCTTCTAGGATCTTTGGTAGGACTTGGCCAGGTGGACTTGGCTTTCCCAGCCTCTCAGTGGGGATGGGCAAGGGAGGAGGAGGTAGAGAGATGATGTGCTTGTTTGTTGAGCAACACGTCAATCTCATTGGACGACCCACAGGAACCAGGCTGGAGATGCTCCCTGGGCACCCTTTCCCATCGTCATTACCACCCTCCTTGTCTTTATCAACGAGTGTTAAGGAGTTCTCATGTACGATGCCCGTGGGACGCCCCGTGGGACGCCCCGTGGGACGCCCCGTGGGATGTACTGAACACAGGCAGGCGCCGCTCTATTCTGAAGAGTGTTTCCTTTTCTTGTCGAGCCTCTGTGTGGACACGTTTGTAAGCTCCACTGTTGCGTTGGGTGTTGCTGTGGTGGGATTTCAGCCTTGGCTCCGGAAATCCAGATAGCACTGAGCAATCACAGGGGTAGGACGAGGCGTGCAAGATTAGACACGTCAGCAGGACAGTCTCTGAAATACCTGCTGAATACTTGAGGTCTCTTGGATGCCAACTCCCGTTTCATGGAAACTGAACTCTGGTTTCAGTTATTCTATGCAGACCTTTCTAGACAGATTTTTTTTTTTGGTAGTTACCATTTTTGATTTTGAGAAAGAGTTTCACTGTCACCCAGTTTGGCCTCAAACAGACATCCTCCTGCCTCAGCCTCCTAAGTGCTGAAATTACGTGTGTGGGCCACTGCATTCACTGCAGAGCTCTTCTGGCTTTGCACTGGTTCTAACTAATTGATTGATGAGTTAATTAGAGACACTGTCTTGCTGTGTGGCCTCTGACAGACATACTTCCTATGTAGCCCAGGTGGGTCTCAAACTTTTACCTCTCCTTTCTGCTTCCAGGATGCTAACTGGGATGCATGCCCAGTTCCTTCCCATATTCCCAGTTAGTAAGTGGAGCAAAAGGAGAGAGGCAAGATGGCTCAGTGGGTAGAGGCTTTTGCCTTGCGAGCCTGGCCACCTGAGCTTGATCCTTAGGACCTGTATACAGATGGGCGAGACAAACCACACCTAGTTGTCCTCTGACCTGTACATGCATACCTGCACCTCCCAACAATAGCAGACAAACAAATAAAATAGCATAGAAAGGAGAGGAGGGGCGGCGGGAAGCTTAGCTTTTCAGTGTGAGGTGAGCTCACCCACAACTCAGCTCCACTCTACTCTTCTTATGGTGAACGTAGCACAGACTTGTGTACCCAAGTGAGTCAGGCTCTCTCTGTGCCTTAATTTACTCATCGACGCCGTAGAGGCTGAGAAGAGCTTTCCTGCTGATGGTGTCGGTAAGTAGAGCCAGCGAGACAGCTCAGGGGTAAAGGTGCTGATGCCAAGCCTGAACACCCTGGCTCGGGCTCCAGGACTCTCAGGCTAGGAGGAGGACACTGACTCCTACAAGGTACCCTCTGATGTCCACATGCGCACTGTGGCTTGTGTGTGCCCACACATGCACACAAACACATACTCACATAATAAATTTGAAAATGTCATTTAATGGGGGATGCGTTAGGGGGAAAGGCTGAGGGGTGGGAGGAGGGAGGAAAGGGGGATCTGAGGTTGGTATGTAAAATGAAAGAAAAAAAAAGAAAATGTCATTTAAAAGTTATTCTATTTAAGCAAAATATTGTTTTTATTTTATCACAGCTTTTCTTACAATACTATTTTAAATATTTAATATTAAATGTTATTTTATTTATAATAAAAGTATTATTATTAATAAATTATGAAACTCATTCAAAATGCAACTTTTTGAATTTTTTTTTTTGCTTTGCTTTATGCTCCCCACCTCACTGCCACTCTTAGGATGCTTTCCTTGTTAATAAACTAAAAGAAAGAAAGGAAAAAACCCTAACTTCTTAAAAATATATGAAAATCACTACATCTAGACAATGGAATTATTATGCATTGCTACAGCAAAGTCAGAGGTCCAGCCATGAAAAAATGAGGAGGAAGCCAGGTGTGATGGCAGACGCCTTTGACCCCAGAACTTGGGAGGCAGAGGCAGGCAGATCTCTGCGATTTTGGGGCCAGTCTGGTCTACATAGTGAGTTCTAGGTCAGCCAAGACTACACAGTAAGACTTTGTCTTAAAAAGAGAGAAGATAAGGTAAAGAAGATGAAAGACACACGTTACTAGCGGCAGAAGCCGGTCTGGAAAGGATACTCACTGTCTAATCCCTACTCTGACTTTCTGGAACAGACACAACTGTGGAAACAGATTAGGAGTGGCCAGGGTTGGGACAGAGCCTCAGCTCACACAAGTTATTGGTCATTGAAACTCCCTTGTAGGATAAAATAAAAGCAGAAGTACGTTATTCATGGACTGTGCAACTCTGACGTGTAGAGACTTCAGGTGGTAACAGTGTGGCCGCATGGTTTCGTGGGCAAGGGATGTCCCAGCAGGTGCAGGGTGTTGATGGCCAGGGTGGCTGTGTGCGGGGTGGGTAATCGAAATTGCTACTGTCCGCTCCATTTGCCTGTGACCCTGAAAGTGCTCTAGGTGGCAAGGAGTGCTTCCCTAGAGTGTATGAAGTCCTAGGCTCCACCCCCAGCACCACATCACATCAACCCTATGTGGTGGTACATGCCTGTAACACCAGCACTTGGGAGGTAGAGGAAGATAGATCCAGAAGTTCAGGGTCACCCTCAGCCACATAGCGATAGAGTTGGAGGTCAGCCTGGGATACATGAGACCCTCCCTCCCCTCAAAAAGTCAACTTGACTTAAGTGTGTTTGTACACAGATGAGGGAAAGTGGATGATGGAGACAGAGGGCTAGGTCCACTGTCTTAGAAAAGTCCCGTTTTGTCCCCAAGGCCTGCCAACCAATTTTCTCCATGTTTGAAGAGGACCTGGGACAGCAGAGGAGGGACAGCATGGGTGTTCTTACAAGGACACCGTTTTTCTTGACTTCTTCTTCTCAGCCTCCAGGTCTGTGGGCAGCTGAGGGCTCCCCTCTCCTCCCACTGGCAGAGAACAGGGCCAGGTCAGCAGCGTACACCAATCCTTAGACACAGGGAGTGTTATTTAGTCTAGAAATTCACAAAGGAAATATCTGCTTGCACGTGAAAAATCTCTGGAATGTCTCTGCGAGACCACCGTGAAGAGCCCCATGCACAGCCCACAACCACAGCCTTGTTCGAGCTGGGCACCACAGCCAGTCCAGGCACCTGGTGGCCCTGCTATGTCATTCAGTCACCCTTGCTCTTCGGAGCCCCCAAGGGTGAGAGGCTGGGCAGGAAGAGGGAAGGAGACCTGGAGAAATGGAGGGAGATCTGGGATGCTGAGCCGGAGTCCTCTAACACTTCTGACTGTTTTCCCTGTCTCGTCTCTTCCTCCCCCCTCCCCTTCTTGCTCCCCAGTCTTGGTTCTATTTAGACAGGGTCTTCTGTAACAGCCCAGGGTGACCTTGAACTCCTGGTCCTCCTGCTTCTGCTTTCTCAGTGCTGGGGTGACAGCTGGTGCCACTGCGTACAACCCCTGCCTGTCTTTAACTGGTCTCTCCAAGTTTCCTTTCTTTTTTCAAGTTTTCTAAAAAATACGCTTCTTTAGTGTGTGTGTGTGTGTGTGTGTGTGTGTGTGTGTGTGTGTGTGTGTAGAGGTCAGAGGACAACTGGACAACTTGCGGTCGTATGTGGCAATCAGAGAACAACTTGTGGGACTCGGTTCGCTCCTTCTACTCTGTGTGGGTCCTGGGAATTGAACTCGGATCTCCAGGTTTGAGGGCAAGGGCCTTACCTGCAGAGCCGTTTCAGGGTTTCCTTCCTTTCTCGGGACCTGCTTTTCCAGCTGCCACTGAAGGTTACGGGCCTGGGTTTATTTAGACAGGCATGATGGGATACCGAGCACTGGGTGAGTGTATCTGGCTTTCTCTCTGATATGACAACAGGGACACTCCTCGTCCAGTCTCCTGGCCCCTCTGTCCCAAACCCTATCCTCCTTCGTAGGGTCATCTAGTCTTTACTTGAGATCAGTTTCAGCAATAGAGGCAAAAGCTCTGGCCTTGCTGTTTTTTTATAATGGTCTTTCCTTTCTAGTTAGAATGCAGAGTGAAACTGCCTGGACGCGGAAAAGGGGACTGATGTTGGGAAAGAAGCCCAGGGCTCCAGGGCACCCACTGGAAACCAAGAAATGTTCAAGCACCAGGTGTGAGGACTGTAAATAGAACGTTGCTTACAGTGCACTTAGAATAACAGCAGCTGCTCTCTGAGGACGGCCTTTTTCAGAGGCTAACATTTAACTTCCAGACAATTCCAGGCAGTCTCAACATCACATGAGTTCACTGGGGCAAGCATAGCCTCGTGGCCCATTTTGTCCACGCATCTCAAATTTCGAGTTTAAGAGCTGATTTCCTAAGAACTATGCTAAACCTCTCACATTCCAATGTGCGTGTACACACACACACACACACACACACACACACACACACACACACACACATATCACAACCATTGTTTTTCAAAATATAGCCTTACTTGGGAATGTTAGGACATCAAACCCTTAAAAAGCCGGACAGTTTGCTTTCAAAAGACTTGATGGGGCAAATTTCAGACCTCTTGATTTTTTTTTTCCAATGTCTTTGCTTCTAGTTCATTTCTGCAATCAGGCTGGCAGCAGCTGGATGCGGCTAAGGTCACACAACGAAGGACTCATAGATGCCGAGTCTGGCCCTGCAGCCACTCAGATCTGGAAATATTTTCCCTTCAAAACAGTCAATTTGCTGGTCCTAAATGAAAGGCCAGGCAGGGCCTCTCAGACTGCAGACCTGGTCGCCCGCTTAGCAGCTCTGTTAAGGAGTCGGGGAGAGGGCACAGCATCACAGATGTGTTTCTTCCCTGGGGCAGGATCAATGGGCCGGAGAGGGCCAGGACACCCTGTTTCCCCGGATGGCCTCACTTGCCTGCACCTGTTGGGAAAACAGTCCCACACCAAGCCAGAGGAGCGGTGAGGTGGAGAGAGAGAGGCACACTGATGGACGTGGTCCTTAACCACTCTGCAAATCTCCAAGAAAGCAGAAGACACAGGCTGCCTTGAACTTACCAACTTAGGCCTTTGAAGTAGAACAAACTCCTCAACTGTTGAAAACCTCTCGCAGAAGCGCCCAGAGTCTAGGCCAGTGCCTGGTGTGTGGAGCTGCTGTGCCAGGCCGTGCTGGGCATTAAACTGTGAAGTAGTGGGGAGGATAGAAACTCCCTGCCCAGGCCGAGCTGGCATGAAGCGGGTGGTGGAGGTGCAGATGGGGAAAGAAAAAAACAATATTCGCGATTCAAAATAGTGATCAAAGCAAAAGGAAGTTCTCTGGGAGAGAGTACGAGAGGAAGGACTCTGTGGTAAGGGAACATTCACGTAAGTGCTGAGGACAAGAAACGAGATGGGTGGATGACCCCTCAAAGTACTACAGGGGCAGGGAGCAGCCTGGGCCACGGCCCCAACAGAAGGGTGTTTGTGTGTGTTTGGTGTGTGCAAACTTCAGCAGGGCTGTGTGCATTGACATAGGCAAGCTGGCAGAGGACAATGGCCACGAGGCTGAAGAGGTCAAAGGCACAAGCCTTGTCTAGGGCTCACTAGAGTTTGAAACACATCCCCCCAAATCACGCGTTGGAAATTTGACCTTCAATGCCGAAGTGTCAGAGGGTGGGATAGTCCAAGTTTTGAGACAGGATCTTGCTACGAGGCCCACGCTGACCTTAAATGCACAATCCTCCTTTCTCAACCTCCTAAATTCTGGGGTTACAGGAGTGTCTCACCACATCCAGTTAGAGTAGGGTTTTTAAGAGTGATTAGGTTATGAGTGTTCCTCCCTCATGGATGGATTAATGCTGTCACTGGGAGATTGGGTACTTTTAAAATGGAATCCAGAGGAATCTGGGCCAGGCAGGGTGGCACGCGCCTTTGATGCTAGCGCTTGGAAAGCAGATATCTGCCAGCCAGGACTACAGAGTGAGACCCTGAAAAAGAAGGAGAAGAAGAAGGACGGTCCGAGCGCTGTCTGTGTCTCTCCTTGACTATTTTATTTAGACAAGGTCTAGTGTATCCCAGGCTGCCTCAGACTTACTGTGTAGCCAGTGGTCCTCCTGCCTCTGCACTCTGAGTGCTCGGACTACAGGCCTGGTACTGGGGTCCCATCCCAGGTTTTGAGCATGATAGGCAAGTGATGTCCCAACCCAGCCCAATGGGTGCCCTTTAAAAGAGGTACATTTCAAACCTTTTGAGCTTTTGTGTTTGTTCTTGTCTCTGTGGGGCACAGGCAGAAAGGACACTCTGGCCTGTGGGACTTCTTTACCTTTGGAGGTGGCTTCCAAGACACTGAGTCACTCTCCTACCACCCATGTAGAGCTATCCTGAAAAAAAAAAAAAAACCAAAAATAAACCTACCCTGTTTCCTGCAGTTCTGCAGCTCCTGAGGGGGTGGCCAGGAGCACAGTGTGGCGACACCAAAGAGACAGGCTGCAGCAGGAAGCACTGTGTGTGGGAAACTTGGCTGTGACTTCATTATGCGGAGGCTGCATCAGGCTGGGGTCTGCTTCTCCAGGGAGCAGACACAGAGTCAGACCCCAGAAACATGCAGGGGTGTGGCTAAACCAACTGAGCCGCAAGCTGGCTGCCCTAAGGCTAATACCCGAGGGTGGAATTGTAACCTGGACGTGGTCTGATGACCAGTCTCCGCGCCTGAGCCCCAGCTGTGCTGGGAACTGACCTCATTCATGAAGTAAACACTGAATCAGATACCAGTGGGCCTAACCCTGGTGGGGTGGAAACAGCTCAGATCTTTTCATAATTACGAAGCGGCCAATTGCACTTGGCGAGAGCCCCTCGAAAGATGTCAATTGGAATGAGTTCATGAGTGTCTCTTGCCAGCTTCGTCGGAAGCCAATCGCCTTGCTCTGGTTGAAATGATTTGTATTAAAATGTTTTACTTGCATTGTAGTTCGGAGACTCCAAATATCGTCCTGGGAAGCTGTGCAGGCTAGCAACTGGAAGACCGTACTGGGAACCCACCGGTTGCCGCTGAGTCCTGGCCACATCTGTAGCTGTGTGTCCCCAGATGTTCCTGGGACAGGGGCCGTAGAGCGTAGGCCTGTCTCATGATGATGTAGTCCAGGCTGGGATCTGGGGCCCGGTGTTGGTATATCCTGCTTTTCGGTCATAGACACCCGCTGTAGATGTCCACACTCCCCTTGGTTCGTCAGAGGCTGTGGGCTATTCATGCTCTTCATTCCCTTACTCATTCTGTGTGTTTTGTTCAGGAGATGAGAGCTGGTCTGTGCTTCACTGTGTATCTGAGGCCACTTTGCATGCACTTTCATAATCTGGGAGAGAAATAATTTCTTTTGTTTTAAAGATTTATTTTAAAAAATTGTATTCGTGTACAAGTTACCTCAGAGGCCAGAAGACGTCACCGAGTCCCTTGGGAGCGAGAGTTATGGGTGGTTGTAAGCTGCCCATCATGGGTGCTGGGAACCAAACTTGGGTTCTCTGCAAGAGCAGTATGTGCCCTTAACCCCTGAGCTATCTCTCCAGCCCTGAGAAATAATTCCTAATTATTCCTTCCTGTGGGATGCTGTCATTCAGTCAGGCCTGCAGCTTGGAGCCAGACTGCTTGAGTTCAGCCCTACCTTTTGTAAGAAGGGTGGGCTTGGGCGGGCCACTCTCTTCTGTGCCTGGGGACTAAAGGGTTAATTCACACACAGCATGTAGAGCTCTTCCAGGGCACAGCCGAACATTGAACAGGCATGATTAGCCTCGGTCACAGTCTGCTTGTCTGCTGTGACAAACTATCACAGACTGAGGAATTGATAAACGTTAGAAATCCGTTTCTCCTAGTCCTGGGAGCAGGGAATCGGAGGTCAGAGTGCAGCATTTGACTCTGCTGCAAGCCTTCCTGCTGCTTCCCAACGAGACAGGAGGCGGGAGGGAGAGGACATCTAACGCAGGTCCTCCAGGCCTTCTCTATGGCCTCTGATGACTCCACTGCCTCCCAAAGGCCTTACCACACCGCAGGGGTAAATCTCACGTGACTTTTAGGAGGGACACTGTCCCTCAGGGCAGGGCAACCTTCTTTATTGCCACTGCCACCAGTGAACTAGAACAGACACAATAAAGGAATGTTGGACAGACATCTTGTACTGCTAAGTATACAAGGTGGCTGTCCGCACCACGTGTCCAGTCTTTGGACATTGCAGCATGATGTTGCCACCTGCAACTGAGTCATGAAAACAAGCAAGCAGACAAAAGTGACCAGAAAAACAGCATGTTTTGAGCAAGTTTACAATGTTGCTTTAGACAGCACTTCTAGCTATCCCGGGCCATTTGAGGCCTCAGATTGCACACTTCACTGCAAGCCAGTAACTGCTTTCCAGGTATCATGATAAGAATCCAAAAGACAGGGCTGGAGAGATGACTCAGCAGTTAGGGTCATTGGCTGCTCTTCAGAGGACCCAGGTTCAGTTCCCAGCACCCACATAGCAGCTCACCACTGTCTGTAACTCAAGCTCCAGGGGATCTGACACCCTCGTGTGGCTTCTGTGGGCACCAGGCATACACCAGGTATGCACATACATACATTTAGGCCAAACATTCAAATACATAAAATAGGAATAAATAATTTAAAAAAGAAGAAGCCAAGAGACCAGCGTGATGGTGCCATTATGTCAGCTAAATCAGGAACCTAATTTCCCCCCTAATTCTCGGTCTGTTATATGGAGTGAATGTTTCCTGTTCTTCCCCGAGAATAATCGTGTCTGGCCTTGATACTGAAGTAACTCAGGGTGCAAAACCACATGGGATGATATTGTTGACACAGAATGACAATAGTATTGTCTCATACAGGGCTGTGGAAGCTGTTTTGTCACGACTTCTCGTGGTTTCAATTGCTTGTTGGCCTCAAAAAGACCTTTCTCTCCCTCAGATGAAACCATTTGACAAGGCTTCACTTTGTAGCCCAGGCTGGCCTTGAACTTTCAGCTTCCCAAGTGCTAGCATTACAGGCATGAACCACCACTCCCATTTCCCTTTGCACCTTTCTCCCATCATCCTGACCCCTGTCCGCCCGGAAGAGAGGAGGTATTCCCAGAGGCTTTCTCATCCATGATTTGCACGAGGGCTTAGGACGGACAAGCCTTGGCAAGGTTACTGATATGTCAGGGTGCTGTGAGGAACCATGAAGGCCAAAGGCAACAAAGCTGGATTTGTTGGAATGTTTATTTTTGAGGCAGGATCTCATGTATCTCAGGCTGTCCTCAAACTCTAATGTCTTTGTCAGGGTCTCTATTGCTGTGAAGAACAAAGCAACTTGGGCAGGAAAGGGTTTGTTTGGCTTACACTTCCATATTGTAGTCCATCACTGGAGGAAGTCAGGGCAGGAACTCAAAACAGCAGGAACCTGGAGGCAGGAGCTGATGCAGAGGCTATGGAGGGGTCCTGCTTACTGGCTTGCTCCCTATGGCTTGCTCAATCTGTTTTCTTAGAGAACCCAGGACCATCAGCCCAGCGATGGCCACACCCATCAGCCCAGGCCACCGTGGACTGGGCCCTCCCACATCAATCACTGAGAAAGTGCTCTACAGGCTTTCCCACAGCCTGGTCTTTGGAGGCGTCTTCTCAATTGACGCTCCCTCCTCTCAGGTGACTACAGCCTGTGTCAAAGGGACATAAACTAGCCAGCACATCCACATAGCCGAAGACAGCCCTGAACTTCTGCTCCCGCTGCGTCCCCTCCCCAGGACTGGCAACTGTACCATCACTCCCAGTTCATGCAGTGCTGGGGATCCAACCCAGGGCCTTCTGAATGCTGGGTAAGCATCCTAACAACTAAGCCATATCCTCACAAAGTAAAATTTTAAAATCACAAGTGAGACCAATGAAAGGTCAGTGAGTTTAGGGTTGATTCTAGGCAAAAGTCAAGTGCCTGGTTGGCTGGCATACAGAAGGGTGATGATAGGGTCGATGTGTCGATGCTGATGCCCACAGGGATGCCTTTATAGTTTTTTTTTTTTTTCGAGACAGGATTTCTCTGTTGTAGTTTTGGTGCCTGTCCTGGAATTCATCCCGTAGACCAGGCTGGCCTCAAACTCACAGAGATCTGCCTGCCTCTGCCTCCGGAGTGCTGGGATTAAAGTTGTGTGCCACCACCACCCCGCTGCCTTTATAGTTTTGCTAAGTGAAATGAATGTACTGTGCATCCATGATGCTCACAATAGTTTCACTACTCACGAAATTCCCATGGACCAAAAACAGTGACAGAAAGCCTCCTGAAGCTTGAGGCATATCTCCATGGAAGGTGACACCATGTCACAGAATTGGAATTTGTGCCCAGGCCCCATGTCCAAGGTAAAGGCTCCTTACATTACTGGGACTCTAGAACGTGGTGATGTGGAATTGTACCAACAGATGGGACAGTGTCAGTCCAAAGAATTCTCTAGCGACATGCCAAGAAATTCTGTCCTTGGCTTTAATCTCTTTAGCATTCTATCAACAACTTGGATGGGACCAAAGATAGCTGCTTATCGACTGTGCAAACAGCCTCAGACTGGGAAGGATGGCCAATCTGTTGGAATTGCAACACTGAGATCCAAAATTATCTCAACGGGAAGGAATGTTCGGTTAATCCCAACGAGATAAAATTGAACAGGAATACATGCAAGGTCCCGCATTTAGCTCTAAAACTTGACTGAAGAAGTGTAGGAAGTGTCTGGAAAGGAGTCCAGTTTCACTGGTAATCAAAGAAATGCAAATGAAAGCAGCCACGAGATAACCATTTCCCTTTATCAGATTGGCAGTGATTAAAAGGAGGAGAATTCCTGGAGTTGTTGGGGCGGGGGAAGACTACACGCGATCTTGTCAGTTGCTCATGGGCTTGCACACCAGAGCACCCTCTCTGGAAGGTAATTAGGAAACTTGCAGCAAGCAGAAAGTCTTTTCCCTGAAAGTCTCATTTATAGAAATGCATCTAAAGACAAGCTGGGAAAGATTTATGTACCAAGATATTCCTCAAAAGCACCATTAAGAAAAGAAAACTATTTTGGAAGAGGGAGAGGCGTTCAGTTTGGGAACAGAGGACATGGAGGCTGTAGAAGGGTACCACAGAGCTACTGCCAAATGCTCCACGCCTTGCAGAGACAGTCAGCATCCCTGTAGAGCCAAGTGAGCCCGGTGGGATTTAGGAGACATCTCTTTGGCTGAACAACACAAAGCACATTCCATAAGTTAATTCTATCTCGAATCAGGATGATTGCCTTGGACACTTTTCTGTCAAGGGGATGAAGGGGACTGTAAGAAACATTAAACACGATTTTTTTTTCTATCAAATACTGTAAAACTTGTGTTTGTGACAAGGAATTAAAATTTTTGTGTATCACCAGGTGGTGGTGGCTCACACCTTTAATTCCAGCACTTGGGAGGCAGAGGCAGGTGTAGTTCTGAGTTCAAGGCCAGCCTGGTCTACGGAATGAGTTTTAGGACACCCAGGGCTACACACAAAGAAACCCTGTCTTGAACGCGCCCCCCCCCCCCCGAAAAAAATAAAAGAAATTGTATCTCCCCCACCTGTATGCCAATGTTTCTATGCCCCCACCCAGAAAAACCTTTGTATACACAAAAGTCTTGCTACATTCTCCAAACTTAAGGGACCTAAGTGGACAACCCTTCTGCTTTCATTGTGTGCCAATTTTTAAATTAGCCAATTGTGAAGACTGTGAGGTAAGATCCCAGTCAATGGTGAA